GCCTGCAGCCGCTTCCTCGCCCTGGCCGCGCTCTTGGCGGCGGCGGCGTCCTCCTCTCGGGGGGGGAGGGCAACCCCAAACACCTCCGACGGCGCGACTGATTCAACGCACCCACGCACACTCAATCACTCACTCACTCACTCACTCACTCACCCACCCACTCACTCACTCACTCTCTCTCTCACACACAACTTGCTCGTCGGCCGCGAGGCAGAGAATCTGCTCCAGCGGGTGGTGTTTCGGGGCAACCGAACGGTGACTTGGCCGGCGTGCAGAGAGTGGTGAAAAGGACTAGGGCGGCCGCGCAGAGGACCGGAGGAGGAGGAGGAGGAGGAGGAGGAGGAGGAGGAGGAGGAGGAGGAGAAGGTGGAGGTGTGAGGTGGAGGTGGAGGGAGGGGGTGGGGGAGGAGGAGGAGGAGGAGGAGGGGAGGAGGAGGAAGGAGGAGAGGAAAAGATAGGGCGGCCGCGCAGAGGACCGAGGAGGGCCGAAGAGCGAGGCCGTCCGGTGCCCTCGGCCCCTCCTGGGCCTCCGGAGACGTCCTCCCCGGGAGGGGCGAGGAGAGGAGGGAGGAGGAGGGAGGAGAGGAGGAGGAGGTAGGAGGAGGAGGAGGAGGAGGAGGAGGAGGAGGAGGAGGAGGAGGAGGAGGAGGGGAGGAGGAGGGAGGAGGAGGAGGGGAGGAGGAGGCGGAGGAGGAGGGAGGAGAGGAGGAGGAGGAGGGAGGAGGAGGAGGAGGAGGAGGAGGGGGAGGAGGAGGAGGAGAGGAGGAAGAGGAGGAGAGGAAGAGGAGGAGGAGGAGGAGGAGGGAGAGGAGGGAGGAGGGAGGAGGAGGAGAGGAGGAGGAGGAGGAGGAGGAGGAGGAGGGCAACCGAATGGTGCATTGGCCGGCGTGCAGGAGGGGTGAAAAGGACTATGGCGGCCGCGCAGAGGACCGGAGGAGGAGGAGAGCCACACACACACACACACACCAGCACTCTGTGCTTTGCGACCGGCTGGTCCAAGCCAGCGAGGGCGCCCGGGCGGAGATCACGCTCAGCATGGTGACCAGCGAGCGCGCGCCGAGGGTGGGCAACCAAACGGGGGCTGCGCGTGCAGAAAAGGGAGTGCACGACGGTTAAGCACTAACACACACACACACGCGCGCGCACACACACACACACAGACACACACACACACGCGCACACACACGCACGCACGCACGCACGCACGCGCGCGCGCACATTTGGGCGCCGCGGCCTCGCGTGCAGCGTCGAGGCGTAGAAGATCGAAGAGCTGGCTACAGTCAACCCGTGTCGTAAGGATGCGCGGTAAGGGCGCAAGGGCCTTGGAGGGCCGTGTTAACGTTTGTCGAACGAGGCTGGCCAGCGAAAGTCGCGGAGGATGGGCCGAGGGGGCAAGGATGCAAGGGTACCCTTGGGAAGATTGCCCATCCTTGCTATGCGGGTCGACTGTAGAGGTGGGGAACGCGCGCGGCAGCCCAAATCAGACGCCAGGGAACTCTCTCTCTCTCTCTCTCTCTCACACACACACCATTTGGCGGTGCGCACGAGGGGATGGAGGGAGGGGGGAGGAGAAGGAGGCTGCTTCTTAGAAGGCACCGGCCTTACATCTATAGATTCGGCCCGCGCCTTCTAAGAAGCAGGGGTGTTTCTAAGAAGCCCTCCCCCCTTCCCCCCCCCCTCCACCCCTGCGCGTGGCTGAACTGTTGCGTCGCACGCGGCCGGGGCCGAGAGCCGCACTGGCGGTCAGAGGTCGCCTAAACAAATCGAGCGCAGCCATCCCGACTGCAGCCGCGGTGGGCGCACAGGGAGACACACACACACACACACACACGCGCGCGCGCACGCTTTTCTTCTCCAGCGGCGAGGTGACGACGCCGTCGCGAGTACTGAGGCGTGGTGCGCTTTTAGTCCAATCATCACCTGGCGCTGCTGATGGCAGGGTTCCGATTGAGAGCAGACGCACGCAGGGAAAAAACGCGGCACCGCGAATGCGCACGTGGAAGACGCCGACGAGGCCCTGCCGGTGCGGGAGCGCGCGGGGCACCACCAACACAGCAGTGCAAGAGAAGATAGGTGTGCATATACTCGAACCCTGCAGTCCAGATGTGAAGGTGCGACGCGAGGGCAGTCCATGCAACTCGAAAGGCAGGAGGGGGAAGGGGAGAAAGAAAGTGTATGTATGCCCAGCAGCCCAGCAGCCAGGGTGCAACGTGAGGGCAGTTTAAGCCAATGAGAGCCAACACACACGCGCGCACACACACACACACACTCGCACTCACACACACACACACACACACACACTTTCTTATACCCCGTCGTGCATCCGAAAGCGGGTGCACGAAGGGGGGTCGTCACCCTCAGGGCAAATCGGTCTTCTCGTGAAGCAGCGCACCTGAACCGAAAACCAGCGAATTCCGCACAAGGGCCACATCGTAGTAGGGAAGCCGGGCGGGGAAGCCGGCCCCGGGGGGGGGGAATCGAGAGTTGCGAGGGGGGCGTGTTCGGAATAAGAGCCAAAGTCCAGTATCCCTAACAGCGAGGTATAGCACAAGGTGTAACCCCTAAGAGTGTTCGCGCGTCAGCCTGTTCCAGATCGGCCTGCGCCGTCGGCGTTGTCGTCGAGCGCTTCGGCATCGCCTTCGTCGTCATCCTCCTCCTCCTGCTCCTCCTCGTCTTGTTCCTTCTCCTCCTCCTACTCCTCCTCCTCCTCCTCCTCCTCCTCCTTCTCCTGCTCCTCCCTTTCAATGTCTGACAAACTTGGATATGCTGGGATCGTACAACAAAGAACGCCTTTGGCTCAGCGGCGACGAATTAGTGCGGAATGCAGAAAGTAAACGAAAACTGCTAAAGATGAGAAGCCCACGGGGGCGCAGAGTAATCGTGTTAGCGGCCAATGGGGAGGAAGGGGGAGTCAACCATAACCAGAACCTCAATGCGCATGAGAAGGACACCGAACAGGTGGAGGACAGAAGCATGCGTGCACTCCTCCTCCTCCTCCTCCTCCTCCTCCTCCTCCTCCTCCTCCTCCTCCTCCTCCCCTCCTCCCTCCTCCTCTTCCCCTCCTCCTCCTCCTCCTCCTCCGCCTGCTCCTCCTCCTCATCAGCAGCAGCAGAGGCATCACCATCAATATCACCATCACCATCACCATCAATCATCATCATCATCATCATCATCATCATCATCATCATCATCATCATCATCATCATCATCATCATCATCATCATCATCAGCAGCAGCATCAGCATCAGCATCATCATCATCATCATCATCATCATCATCATCAGCATCATCATCGCATCAGCGCATCATCATCAGCAGCAGCATCAGCAGCAGCAGCAGCATCATCATCAGCAGCATAATCATCGTCTTCTTCATCATCATCATCATCATCATCATCATCATCATCATCATCATCATCATCATCATCATCATCATCATCGTCGTCAGCATCATCAGCATCATCATCAGCAGCATCAGCATCATCATCGGCATCATCATAAGCATCATCAGCATCGGCAGCAGTATCATCACCAGCAGCAGCGGTATTATCATCACCATAAAGATCGGGAATCTGGATCATCAGCACCATCATCAGCATCATAAACACCAACATCATCATCTGCATCATCAGCATTATCGTCGTCACCCTCATCATCATCATCATCATCATCATCATCATCATCATCATCATCAGCATCAGCATCGTCAGCACCAGTATCATCATCACCATCAGCATCATCATAATCAGCATCATCAGTATCATCAGTATTATCACTATCATCAGCAGCACCATCAACATCATCATGATCATCATCAGCATCGTCACCAGCATCGCCATCATCGTCGTCGTCGGCATCATCGTCAGGAGCATCACAATCATCGTCATCAGCATCATCACCATCATCATCACCACCATCGTCATCGTCAGCATCAGCATCATCATCGTCATCATCCTCATCACCAGCAGCATGAACAACAACATCAGCATTATCATAATCAGCATCGTCGCCATCATCACCATCATCATCAGAATCAGCATCAGCATCATCGGCAGCAGTAGCATCATCATCGTCATCAGCATGATCAGCATCATCGTCGTCGTTACCATCAGCATCATGATGAGCATCATAATCCGCAGCCGCATCCTCATCATCATCCTCATAATCAGAAGAAGCAGCATTAGCAGCAGCAGACGCATCGCCAGCATCATTATCATCATCGTCATCATCATCATCAGCAACAGCGTCAGCATCATCAGCATAATCAGCATCATCATTGTCATCAGCATCAGCATCATCGTCATCATCCTCCTACTAAGCATTATGCTAGTCCTCATCCTCATCGGAATCCTCCTCATCATCAGCAGAATCGTCATCAACATCAGCCTCATCCTCATCATCATCATCAGTGTCATCGCCAGCATCATCATATTCATCATCATCATCATCATCATCATCATCAGCATCATCATCATCATCATCATCATCATCATCATCATCATCATCATCATCATCATCATCATCATCATCATCATCATCATCATCATCATCATCATCATCATCATCATCATCATCATCATCATCATCATCATCATCATCATCATCATCATCATCATCATCATCATCATCATCATCATCATCATCATCATCATCATCATCATCATCATCATCATCATCATCATCATCATCATCATCATCATCATCATCATCATCATCATCATCATCATCATCATCATCATCATCATCATCATCATCATCATCATCATCATCATCATCGTAAGCAGCAGTATCATCAGCATCAGCAGCATCATCATGAGCAGCAGCATCGTCAAGATCGGTATTATCAGAACCACCATCATCCTCATCAGAATCAGCATCGTCTTCATCAGCATCATAATCAGTTTCAGCATCAGCATCATTATCATCACCTATCAGCATCATCAGCATCTTCATCATCAACGTCATCATCATCGTCATCATCATCATCACCATCATCATCATCAGCAGCAGCATCATTATCATCAGCATCAGCATCATCATCATCAGCATCATCA